CCACATGGGAAATGAACGACAACTGGTCGATTAGAACTACCACAAAAACATCAGGCATGTCTGTTCCATGAAGGACAAGTTATCAAAATGTGTTAGCTATGTTAGCAGACAAACCAGATCTTACAAGTAATATATGCACAGGAACAATGGCTTCTTTATTTTCTTTCTTTTCATCTTGTCTCTCATCAATCTTATTTCTCACTCACTCCTATCTTTTCCTCTCTTTACCATCTCATTAATAGGCACAAAAGAAAGTAAATATGTGAGCGAAGTAAAGCAAGCGGTTAACCTTTGAAATACTCCTGCAATGAGATCTGGCACTCTTTACTCTTTTGAGCTGACAAAAAATGAAGGAAAAAAAAAACAAGGCTGGCCACCACTTCAGAGAGGATATTCAATATCCATGAGCTTTTTCATTTCACACTGATGAATAATTCAGGGTGACCTGCCCACCACTGAGTGAGAGAGGAAGAAAGAAAAGAAGACAAAATAAAGAGGGCCGGGGAGGTGCATGGAGGTAGTTGTCTGTTTTAGTAGATGCAGCTGTTGCAGTTGGATATGCACATAACAGAGTTCCTGCCCAGCTGCCACAACAAATGAAGTAATTTATGACAGACTCAACGATAGATCATTAGGGAGATTATACCAAAGTACTGCTATTCTTACAGCATCAGCAAGGCATGTTCAACACAACATTGATGTACTGCAAAACACGTAGCCATGGGAAAACAGATACATGGGCATGACCATAACCAAGGTTTCCAGGTCACAGTGTAACAACACAGAGCTGCTGCATGTACTTATCAGAAAAACTAGGTTATAACACTTCTAACATTTCTTCAGGCTCTCAAAATGCTGATGTTAATAAAGAGGTTTTAATATACACAGGATGTTAGGAAATTCCAAACAGGAGATAATTTACAATGTGACTTGATGTTCATTAAAAATCTAACATTAAATCAACTTCAGCTGTATGTGTAAAAACAGAGTAAATGGGACTGAATTAAGAGGAATATATTTTTTTGTTTTGTTTTTAGGCAATAAACTTGTTCCATGTTGACTGTTTGATTGTTTTAAAAATGCACCAAATCATATTGGGTCCAATGTTGGATAAGGACGGCTTCTGCCCTTGGTATTATGCTATATCCTGTACAAAGGTCAGAGGCTACTGTCATGCGTGCGCACACAAATACACACAAAACACTGTGACACTCCAAGCTGTCACAAGCAGAGGAAGACCAGCTGTTTTTCATGCTCCTGAAGGCTGCGTTTCCTCCATGGGTTGGCTGGCTTAAGATCAACCATGAGAAAACTATGGAGGCTATGGAGGAGTGAGTGGTAGTGGGTTTGAAGGGAAACAGCTTTTTTTCTATTCTGAGAAAAAAGCCCAACTACAATGGGGGGAAAAAAAGATTTCTTGGCCAAATTTCCCGGAGGACACAAACAGTACCAATGCGAAGTGAAGATTGAGCTGGAGATAGTTCATGTAACATTTAACAGGTTCTGGACAAACAGGAGACACATGCCAGTGGAACTGCATACAAATAAGTTCAAAAATTGAAGGGTGTAAGATGTAGATTTTTCAATACAAGCCGTCGCTGTGGAGAGAACACATTGTAGCAAGAAAACTGCAGCGTTTAGGGATTTTGATACTAAATTGCACCAAAGAAGACAACAATTAATGCTTAAGTATTCATTTCCTGCAGACATAGGACACTATCGATGGATACGACAAATATACGAATTTGAACTGTAAAATCTTGCTTCATGGATACACTGGGTATTATGCAGCCACACTCCCTGTAATAACCCCTGACCAATGCCATGTGAGCTGAAACCTCTTGTCTGTCTCCACTCATTCATATCAGTAGGATTACTGAGGATGACATAGAGCCCTGCTGACACGTGATGCCTGTGTGGAATCATCTGCACACAACTATGCTAGCGTTATAACACAAACACAAACAGATGGACACTAGGATTTTCCTCCCCCTAATTCTTAGCCTTTACCTAGACAGGTAATGTAAGCTATTGGCCCTCTACAATCACCCTGACTTATTATCATGTGAAGAACAAATAAGGAAGGATTCACTTTTAAAGCAGCAAATGTATTATTCAAAATGTTTCCGTTATATATTTTGGCCAACGGAAGAGGAAGACATGCAGAGTAAAGTTAAGGGTCTTGTCCCCATGTCCTGCTGTCAGTTTCACATGAAGATAACCACATCCTGCTGCTGAGAGAAGCATGACCGTGTAAATTTGTGACAGCAGCCTTTTTTTCCATAAATACACATGTAAAGTGTAACTCACTCACTCAGTACATTACTTGTTTCAGGGAAGTTTAGTGCGAACATCAAAGTTTGAGAAATGTTAGGCAAGTAAAACACTGCAAGTAGTGGGAACTGAAATCAATGACCAACACCGGAACAAAGCAATTTGGCCAAGGTCATCTAAGATAATATTAGGAATGCATCATCATGGATGTACTTCTAAACTTAGACAGGGATATTAAAATCTCATTCATGCCCCTCACAGGAAGGTTACAAAGCTGTTAATCACAACGGTAATGGCATCCTGCCAAAAAGATTAAAAAAAAAAAAAGAACATGGTACGATTTGAGCAACGTCTCCTAAACAGTTTTTGTGACATGAGGACAGGGTCATCTGCAAAACTGACATATAAAGGTGAACACTTCAACTGACAAATCCCATATGGCTACATGGGCCTTGTGCCAAATTCCAATCCCTCTATCTACTTCCTGTGAACTGTAGTCCTGCCTGTGCACATCCCCACTTTCTAAATCTCCGCCCAGGAAAAGTACAGCTGAAGGTGCTCTGAGGATTATCTCTACAGAGAAACCACGTGCTGTCATTTGCAGGCGACACAAGAGCGTTCACTTGTGTTAATCTACTGAGCACGCATACCATGCTAGTCACTAGCCAATCACTACTCTGGCTCCACAGGGCTGCTACTCTGCTTCACATGATGCTAATGTTGCTTGTACCCACCTGTGCTGCTGTGTAGGATACCACTGACAGACACGTCCATGGCTAATGCCAGGGCTGCACGGCGCTCTCTCTCGCTGCTTTAGGTTGAAGGGAACTGCAGTTGCTAAGCTTGACTCAAAGGTTTAATGCCATTATTAACTCTACTTTACGGCTTTAGCCAACCAAGACAGCTCCCAGTTGAGAGGAGTACACAAGCAGGACCCTCCCACCTGCAATTGGTGAGGACTTTGATCTAGGCTTTTTTTAAAAAAAAAAACTAATTTGCTTGGAAAAATCATATTTGTTAATGTTTGTCTCATATTGACAAAGATGAGTCACTGGCTTTCATCAAAATACATGTTTGCAAGCATGGAACACTATGCATGTAACAGGAAAGGCCATTCAATGGTGCACTTAAGCCACTGGACCATAGAGAATACCAATCTCTTAAGATGTACACAGTCCAAAGAAGTGGGGTGGAGGAGTGTGCTGAAAAAAAAAACATGTTTTCATTAAGTGCTTAGCTGGATCTTATAATTTTGACTATTTTTTTTCCTTCTGAAAACTGCAAATGGCCTCTAAAAAAAGGAGCAACAACTGTACAAAAAACTAAATGCAACACTGCACGCAGGGAACCACTTTTCCCTCTATCCCTCAGATATGAAGAGTATTCATCTCTGATTACCAGGAGAGCTAGGTTGCCTAGCAACGCACAATTAAGATGCATCTATTGGGGGTACCCCATTATCAGATAAAGTTAAAGAAGCAACAAATGTCAGCAACATGGAAAAAAGGCAAGTGCATTAAAAGTGCATTTAAGAGGTTAAAAAAGACTTCAATGTTGACCTTGAGAAGCAGAGTGTTATATTTTCATGAAGCTCTGAAAAAGACCTCAGCTCAGTTCCCCCTCTTCCTTGGATCTTGCACCTCGCCTATTATTTCCTTGACAACACATGAGAGGGAAGCCACTTTATATAAGTCATTACTCAATATCAAGTGCACAGCCCACAGACCTATTAAAGAGGCAGGGACGATGCAGGATTGCATGTCTTAAAGGAAGGTTATAAGATTCCGCTCTTTCTTAAGATGATCAACTTGAGATGGATACTAAATCAGCTTGTTAGAAGTAGAGATATTAGTACTTTTGATATAAGTACTGACATTCGCTGTTATAAAATGGCATAAGACCCATTTGACCTTTAATCAGACAGAAATTCTACCAAAGAACATAAAAATGATGTGTTTAGATGAGAACAAAACATATGTATGAATACAGAATACAATGAAAAGATCTGTGTACTCTCCCTGCAGCCGCACAGTTCAGAAATATTTAAAAGTGAAACTATTTATTACCGTCACATAACCTGTTTTTGACTATTTTATATCTATTCTGTTTTTATCAATGGCCACAAACTTGTTGTTGAAATTATTTTAGTTTAAGCATAGGAAATGTGGAAGAAGGATTTTCTGTTGTGGAATACAACTGTGGACTAACAACAGTGCCTCTAAAAACAGGTGCTTAAAATAGTCTACACAGCTATACATCCAATTAGTCTAATGGGATTTTAGGTGCTCAAGCCATTGATTAGGAGAGAGTCGAGTGTAAAATAGAGTGAGAGCAATTTTGCATCAAAGAAAAAAAACCTAAATGTGTTAAAGATTTGGAGTGTATTTAATATCAAGACACATTTTAGAACTCTGCAATGATCTAATGTAAGTCTGATGTAAGAATAGGTCAGAGGCTCATTCTGGAGATCCTTAGCAACAAACACTCACTTTTATTCTAAATCATTATTTTTTTAATTGTTTTGTAATTTTTTTAATAATATCTTCTTAGGCAATCTAAAAAGCTTGAAACATGTAATTTTGTTTTCAAACAATTAAAGCAGATTTACTGGTCAGATTTCACTAGTACCTAACCATTGAATTATCTACAAATATTTGTTGGAATAAAACTTGCATGCAGAAAAAAATAAACTAAATTAGCTTAGCTAGTTTTTTTAATCAGATAAAATAAAATAAAAATAAAATAAAATTAGTTATTTGTAGGAGATGGCATAAGGTAACAGATAAGACAAATGAGGTTTCACATTACTTGTGTCAGGCGGGGTAACCATGGTTGGGACAATAACAGGTGGACCAGTGCGACGCCCTTGCATCTTGGAGTTATTAAGATTTTGTGCATGTAGAGCAGAGGTAGAAGTCACAGGAGCCATGGTATTCTCATGAGAAACACCCATTCCTTTCCGGAGTAGTTGGGGGCTGTGGATAGGGCTTGACATTGCTATTGGTGACGAGGGAGGAATATTGTGGGGTCTCTTCATCAGCTCCATGGGAGAATAGGAGCCAGAAAAGGTTTTAGGGGCTGCTCCAGGGGTGCCCGGAGCTGGTGGAGCCTGGTGTCCAAGAGCAGACATGGCAAGGCCAGTGTGGGCGTTGTACATAGAGAAGGGTCTTCCCTGTGTCACAGCATTGTTGTATCCTCCAGGGCTTATTGGAAAAGCTCCACCTGCCATGGGCCGTGTCCCTGGGTAGCTGGTGGTCTCCAGGAGATGTTGGGATGGTGCGCTACTTGGTCTTCTGCCGAGAAATTCTCCCATCCTGGGGGACACTGTCTGCATGTTGGTGGAACTCTGCTGCATCAAACCAGGGTCCATAGTTAAACCCTGGGGCTGCATGTAGAGGTCGTTACGATGGCTGAAGCTGTTGGATCTTGTACGTCCCAATGTCCCACCTGTCTTGCAACCAAGCACAACGCGGGACAGTACACGGGCCTGGGCCAAATTTGGGGCCACAGAGCGAATATCATGATCTTCCATCATCCCCAGGGTAGTTGTTGAATCAAAGCCATGTTGCAACAGTAGAGTGATTGTGCTTTCAGCCAAACCTTCAGCTCGCAAAAAAGCCAGGAAAGCAGGGTCCACCATCTTCTTAGGGTCTGTCGCACTAGGATGGTGAAGAGGCAGGCTGGAGGTTACTCCTGCTGTATTAGCCACCATGGTTGAACTTGGGTCATAGTGTGGGTCATAAGGCAATCGCTGGGAGGCTATGGCGCCATAAGACCGTGAAAGAGCTCCGTCCATTCCTTGGGATGCTGGATCCACCACAGAACTGGTGGCAACGGGCTGATAAGAATCCAAAGGCAGGCTGTTTATATTGTTGAAAGCTTGATGGCCCAAAAAAGACGGTAGTTCTGAAGGGTAAAGCGGAAGAGGGGCTTGGACCCTGTAGACTCCAGCAGCAGGAGAGCTGTCGCAAATACGCCGAACGTCTGGGATCATCTTAGATCCCAGAGCTTCCCTGTACAAACGGCTCAGCTCATGAAGG